CTCAAACTCTTTACAAACAATTTTTTAAAGCAAGTGTTTCTGATTTTTTTTCAAATTAAGACTACAAGTAGGGATGACGAGAAAAGGTTGGAGTGAGAGAGATGAAAGAGAAAGGATTGAGAGGAATGAGAGAGGTGAGTAAGGGTTTGGGGGGTTTCTTTTTTTTTTTCTAAGTTTTGATGAATGAAAATTATTAAAATACCCTTAACCTTAACTAGAAATCCCCCATGATATATAAGGTTATTTTTGTCTACTAAATCCGTACACTTGCTAAAATGTACCAACTGAAAACAGCGTACGCGCGTTTAGCAAACCCCTATTATATTATAATATATATATATATATATATATATATATATATATAAAGTAACTCTTATTTATAATTACTTAATTAAAAAAGTATTTATATATCTTAAATTATGAATATGTATATATAATAACTCTTATTATTGATTACTTAATTAAAAGAATGTTTATATATCTTAAATTTCTTTAACGAAAAATCACAATTAAAATTTCAAGTTTAAAATACTACTATAATGTTGTTATATCATTAAAGAATATTAAATTTATTAATATGCAATTTATATTATATTGAATTTTAGATCATGAGAATAAAATCGTTATTACTTTTTCTCTAACTTTCTAAGTTCGTTTCTTATCTCTTTGATTAAGAATAATAATTTTCTAAGTTTGCTTCTTATTTACATAGCAAGTGCATAACTTCACGAGTATTTCACTACATAAATATTTTAAAAGGTGAGTCTAGAATAGGTTATGTTGAGTTATAAAATGTGATTAATTGAGAATGCATTTTATCTAAGTAATGTGTCAATTGATATTTCTATTTAAATATTATGATTTTATAAGATATGATGGTGTATAATTTATTGTCAAGTTTCTTTTTGCTATGATGACTTAATATGTATGAGTAGGTGACTGTGTAGTTGGTAGTGAAACCCAACAATAAGAATAATGTTGCATAGGAGATATTAGTGTCTTTTTGTCACACACACCACACAATATATATATATATATATATATATATATATATATATATATATTATAATATATATTATAATAGATATTATATATATATATATATATATATATATATATATATATTATGTGTGTGTGTGTGTGACAAAAAGACACTAATATCTCCTATGCAACATTATTCTTATTGTTGGGTTTCACTACCAACTACACAGTCACCTACTCATACATATTAAGTCATCATAGCAAAAAGAAACTTGACAATAAATTATACACCATCATATCTTATAAAATCATAATATTTAAATAGAAATATCAATTGACACATTACTTAGATAAAATGCATTCTCAATTAATCACATTTTATAACTCAACATAACCTATTCTAGACTCACCTTTTAAAATATTTATGTAGTGAAATACTCGTGAAGTTATGCACTTGCTATGTAAATAAGAAGCAAACTTAGAAAATTATTATTCTTAATCAAAGAGATAAGAAACGAACTTAGAAAGTTAGAGAAAAAGTAATAACGATTTTATTCTCATGATCTAAAATTCAATATAATATAAATTGCATATTAATAAATTTAATATTCTTTAATGATATAACAACATTATAGTAGTATTTTAAACTTGAAATTTTAATTGTGATTTTTCGTTAAAGAAATTTAAGATATATAAACATTCTTTTAATTAAGTAATCAATAATAAGAGTTATTATATATACATATTCATAATTTAAGATATATAAATACTTTTTTAATTAAGTAATTATAAATAAGAGTTACTTTATATATATATATATATATATATATATATATATATATATATTCTTAATTTTTAATTCAAATTTAAAATATAATCTTTATAAGTTGGAAAAATAGTTCTTAAGATTTTACAACTACATATAAACATATTAAGGTTTAAACAAAAAGAAACTCAAGAACAATTGATGTTGATAATACCCATATATAATTGCTATAAGCCTTCACTGAAGTGTTCGGGTAAGGAAACTCAAGTACTATACATTTTAATTTTATTTTTTTTTGTAATTTATTCAAGTGAGATAGTTCCGTTTAAGCAACATTTTAGAAGTCTAACTATTGTTAGTTCAAAAACTAAGTGTAATAATGATACAATCTTATTTTGTAATCATTTGGATGATTAATTTTTTGTATTCGATTGTGATATAAATTATAATGAATATAATTAATTTGTGATTATACGTATTAAATGTATATTTTTGTGTTTAATAGATATCCACTTATTCCTTTAATGATCTAAATCATCTAGATTAAGACATTAGAGGGAGTTCTTGCACACTATACCTTTTATTTTTCTTCTAATAAAATAAATCATGATTATCAATTTTACTTAAAGATACAATTATTTCTTAATTTATATTTTATTTTTTTATTGATTACTCATAATAAAAAGTTACAACTATCTGTACTTATTTTTTTAACATGTAATTTATTTTTAGTATATAAATTTTATAAATTAATCATAATTTTATTATACATATCTTTAAACCAAGCCTGCATCGAACGAAGCCTCGTACTAGTTAGCTGTTCATATTTATATTAATGCCCTCACTTTCACTTAATTTATTTTGTTACATATCATCAAATTTTTGTTTACATAAATTTTAGTATTTGAGAGATTAACAATGAGGTGAAATAGAAGCAGTCAAGGCCATACACAAACAATTACATTTTTATGATTATTATTTTCAAATAAATGATTCAAAAAGAGCTATATACCACTACATTAATTAGATTTATGATAACAACAATTTTCTCAACAAATATCATATAAGAATTTCTATTGAAAAATATTTTCAGAAGATGCAAAACTTCACGTTCGGAAATAATTACCGAGATTAACCAGATCTCTATGGTATAAAATAATATTATTATTTGTTTCGATAAATTATAATGTTTAATATATATATATATATATATATATATATATAATCGACGTAACAAAAAGATATAACATATGTTAAGTTTATGATATGCCACACGCGCGTGCATATAAAAATGGCGTGGACAGCTAATGATATGCAATAATGGAGCGTTATCCCTCTGCTGTTTTCTAATGTTGTTCTCTCAATTGTTTATTACTTTTTAAGTATATGTCAGTATGATGATTTCCAATCTCAATTTACCTTATTAGGATAACGTTCTTTGCCTGTCTGAGTTTTATGTCACTTTGAACAGAATATTCTTTCTAATTTTATACATAGATAGTTTCTTAATTATGATCTTGTCTGGGATTTTAAGAAAAGTAATAGAAAAGATGCAGAAAGCAACCGCAAGGAGGTAAGGAAGCTGTAAAGAATATCATAAAACACATAAAGAGGAACCAAGACCTGCATCACAACCCGTAATTTCTGCTTTAGCTTTATATAAAACATCTGTTTTCTGCATTTTTTTTATATCTGCACTGTTGCGCATAACAAACCATACCATAAAAATATAGCGTATTTAACACTTGAATATGAAAAGAAACTAATATTATATGCGCTCAGAGTTTTTGTTTCTAATATTTCTTCTTTTTTAGGCATAAACATGAACATGTTATTTCTTTCAGAAAACAACGAGACGCCATAAGGGCAAACGGTGTAAGCTGTTTAATTAGTTACATACAGTGCATGAATGGATTAGAAGTTTGGTGAATACGTAATTATAGATAATTCCTAATTTTTGAACCGACAAATTGAGGTACTGGATGAAGAAAAGAGGGTTTATTTAAAGGTTCGAATAAGTTTGTGTCTAATTAATTAGAGAATAAAGAAAGAAAGAGGAAACTTGAATTTGATTTGTAGAAAGAAGTATTGCACATGTGAAGACCATAGATGCCGGTGGGATGGTTGTGGAGTTAATGAAGTTTTAATAAAACGATTATAAAATTAATATTAAGTGAAATCAGTAATGCGCCCAATAGTTAGTTGCCCATAATAAAAGTTTTCCTTAAAAGTGGTAGGTTAATTATTGAGAAAAAATATGTTTTGTAAAATACAGATACAACCCTAAGCTATAAAAAACGGTTAGCACCAGCTTTGTACTAATAGCAATATTTTCCAAACTCCCTACCTTTAACCTATTTATCTATGCGTCTACGTGACCAACATCACCAAATATAACCCAATTTTATTACTCTTTCGCACTTACTCCCTCCGGTAAGAGTCAATATTTTCAATGAGTGCGGACAAAAGGAGAATTCAGAGTTCAATCTTCCAAAACGGAAACTATCATAACAAGAGTAATCTGCAGCAGCCGTTGGATTTCAACAGATAAAGATAACACCTTGCATTATTTTTTACGGAAAAAAAAATTTGTTCTTTCCACGTAATGATGGAACTTTTCAAAGAAATCATGACATGGATGAATCGCACATAAAGCTCAAATAGTAAAGAAGAGATAGGACCTATTTTACTTGATTTTTTCAGACACAAGTTTTGCTGCACTTGCAAAATGGTATTTCGCATTTCGCTTTTCACAGACATAGACGGCCCGAGACTGTAGCGTTTGACAAGGAAATTTTGCTATTAGGATTGCTTTCTTTTTCTTCAGGAGTCTATAAAACAATTAATTCAGGTTTTTGAATAATGAGGACTCGGGTTAGTAATATAATAACTTCTGTGCAAACTTTGTCAGCAGGGTAAAATAATTTCTCCCATTATTTTTTCTAAGTGTCCATTTTTTATCTTCAATTACGAACCTTTTTTTTTTCCTTATACTGTCTTCACTAGATTATCATATCAGAAAAGGTGTCCCACCATTCCTGCAAGAGACATCAATGCTCACAGCTTCGAAAAGACATGGTGTACACTGTTTCAAGTTTCAACCCCATTTTTTCACCTTGTTTGAACTCCGACCTATATAGAACAAGAAGTCCTATTTGACATTGTTGAATCTCTATCAGATAGATCAACCATATAATTGTAATTCGAGCCTTGTATATATTTAAAATAAAGAAAGAAAGAAAATACGGGGAACCTTGTTGACTGTGACCTCTCTCATGGGGCCTCGCTCTTATATTAGTTCAACTTCTTTTCTCAGCTGCCAGTTCATTTTCCTTCTTCATATCATCTCTCTGGCTGTCACATTCTTTCTATCTCAGCCCCCAATAGCTTTTGTTCACTGCCACCCCTGCTGACACTTCTCGTAGGAATAAACAAACTTTGTGTTAACTGAAAAGGTTTGAGGTTCTCTCCTCATTTGGTAACTAAGGGAAAAAGAAAAGCTACAAATGGGAAGACACTCTTGCTGTTACAAGCAGAAGCTTCGGAAGGGTCTTTGGTCTCCCGAGGAGGATGAAAAGCTTCTGAGGCATATTACTAGGTATGGTCATGGATGTTGGAGTTCTGTGCCTAAGCAAGCAGGTAATTGATCCGATTATCCAACTCACCCTCCTTTAATCTCCTTTTCCCATGTAATAAATACAAAACTCTTATTAATCTCTTTTTCAATGTATTGCCAGGTTTGCAAAGGTGTGGTAAGAGCTGCAGGCTCAGGTGGATCAATTACCTTAGACCTGATTTAAAGAGAGGAACATTCTCCCAAGAAGAAGAAAACCTTATCATTGAACTTCATGCAGTATTGGGGAACAGGTAATTGTAACTGTAATTCAGTCTCTCTCAACGATTGAATTAATGAATTTTTCCCTTTTTTCCTTTTCTACTGTGGTTATGGTTTACCTTTTTTTTTCTTTTGCTTGACATGCATGTTATCCTGTGCTGTCTCAGATGGTCTCAAATTGCGGCACAGTTACCGGGGAGGACCGATAATGAAATAAAGAATCTGTGGAACTCTTGCTTGAAGAAGAAACTGAGGCAAAAAGGCATAGACCCTGTCACACATAAACCACTGTCCCAGGTTGAGAACGGAGATGACACCGGTAAGAGCCAAGGTAAAGCACCGGAAGTGTCCAATGAATTGAACCTCCTGAAATCAGAGAGCTCCAAGTCAGATTCAGCTTCCTATGAGCAGAGAACATCAATTTCTCCAAAAGCCTATGCACCCGAGATGGATGGTTCCTGCAGCTCCAAGATTTACAGCAGAAGTGACAGCAATTTCGTAACCAACAACTGTTACAACAAAGACTTGTTCCTAGACAGGTTTATGAATAGTAGTCGCCAAGAGAGCTACAACACTAGTTGCCAGCCCTCAGATTTGATGGGAACTTTTCCAATTCAGATGAGTTATGCAACCAATGACTGTCTCCCTAATGATTCAAACTCTACTCATTGGTTCGGCCAAACTGGAAGGCCTTTCGATATGAACTCTGAATTTCCTTTCAATGCTGCCACTTCTATTAATCATCCTACACCCACAACCAATTTGTTTCTTCCTAATTCGTTTTGCTACAAGCCTTCACTTGCTGTTCCTTCTGACAGTGTTTCTACAGCCTATGGATCTCATTACTGGGAAGCCAGTGCCTCCAACAATAGCAATAGCAGCATTAGGAGTAATGGCAGCACAGAGTTGAAAGGTAGCAGCCCCTTAAACATCTTTTCTTCTTGGGGATTGGCAGAATGTAGCACCTCTACTACTAAAGAGGGGCAAATTCATATGATGGAGAATCATACAGAAGAAGCTAAGTGGGATGAGTACCTTCACAACCCAATCTCAATGCTGGCTTCTGTACAAAATCAAGCTCCCGAATCCTTATGCAACGAGATAAAAACATCAATGCATTTGGTACCTGACACTTTAGGGGCTATGTTACCTCATAGCACGAAGCAGCAAGAACCATCTCAAACCTCTAGTATATTTTCCAAGGACATCCAGAAGCTCAGGGCAGCCTTTGGAAACATGTAAAAGGATTGGAGAAAAACAAAGATTTTATTAAAAGGGTTCCGATTCAAGGGATTGCTATTCTTAGTACAGGTGTGTGAAACCACAGATTTTGCTCTTATGTAGGTCTAATACAAAACAATCATTTCACCCTTTTTTTTTTTTTTCACTTTGTTTACCATTTGTGAGCCAAGCCATCTGTCTTTACTTTCTTCTTCTCGGGTGTGGGGTAGAATTGCGGAATAAGGGTTGCTATTCTGTCTTCATTCTACTCTTTTCTTTCTTTGCTACACTGTAACCGCAATGGTGCATTTGCATGTCCAAGTTCCAGCCATCACAGATGTTTTTATTGGTCCATGCAAAGTTTCATTTTCATTTTGATGCAAGGGACAGAGTTACTTTACCTGCAAATGCAAACAATTTTCAGAATCTCTTCTACCGGGTATGATCTTGTTTTCCCACTTTCATACCACTGAAAATGACAGCAAACCAGTGTAAGCAGGACTTCTACCAATCCAATGTTTCTAATGGTTGTCCATCATTTTCTAGACAGTAGAATAATATATTCACTCCCATAGTAGTCTCGACACTTTCCCTCTATGCGAGTTTTGGGAGTGGATCCTTCCATGCAACATGACAAGTCTTGTCATGAGTAAATTTTACATCCATTTCTTTTGTTATTAAATTCATAGACCCTCCCTTATTTACTGTATCCCAAGAAAGAGATTGACACCACTTACACATCATTTTGTCGTGTGAAATTTCAATATGGGAGAGTTTTACTTTCACCTGCGCAACGAGACCGTTAGTTTTCCTTTTGAGAAATTACAAGTGAAGAAAAATACATGACCAAAACGAAGGTTAATTTGAAAAGCAAAAGAGATATTAATTTAAAAAACAAAGGAGGGAGCATTTCCCCCTGATAATTATTAATTTTAGGTGGATGCCTGTGGATATTCTTTGACATTTGAAGGCGCAAGAAAGACTTGAATGGTGAGGTTTTGAGAAGTTAAGTGACAGCACTCATAGGCAGCCATGAATTCAAAATCGCTTATTTCCGTGCAATCAGACAAGGACTTCCGAGCTAACAAGGGCCACATTAGCCATACCCCATGTCTTCTACTTCCTTTAAGACACTTCAAACTCCAAAACATTATCCTAAACATCCCTTTGCAACCAAAACCTACCATCCCAAAATCTTCCTAAACGCTCCAATTTTCAAAATTATTTAACATAATCATCATCCTTTAAATTCAAACTTCACCACTCATGAAACTAAAATTAACAAGTAATATTGGGTAACGCACAAGAATCATAGAAAGTAAATGAAAACTTACCAATTAATCTTGGGTAACGCACATGAATTCTAGAAAGTAAATGAAAAGTCACCAATTCTACAGTGATACCTAACATAGAAGACACAGATCATGCACACAGAGTCAGCATAGTTGAAAACATGACTACGTTAACTAAGGGTTTTTTTTCTCATAAAAAGGAAAAAAAGAAAAATCAACAAAGCAATGAAGGGTCAGTGAATGAAAGAGCATAGGCAAATAAGTACGTGACAGTGACTGTAGAGAGCTGAGAGATTGATTGCAAGAGTAAATTGTGTAATTATAAAAAAGTGAATTCCAGCATTACAGTTAATTTGTAGCTAATGCATTTAACTAAGAAAAAGATTATTTCACTACTATTTTAAAAAAAAATAGTAAAATGATATTCACAAAAGTTATCTTTTGTATTTAAAAAATATTAAGAAAAGAGAAAAAAATAACAAAGAGTAGTATCATATAAATGTAAAAAAGAAATTATGGTGCTAAAACATCATTGTCCTTTAACTATATTCATAACTCTTTGTAAGTAACTAATGTTAGATTATTTTTTATCAATTGACAAGTGAAAATATGTGTTATGTGTTTGTGTGTCTATTTTTTTTCATGATGATAGAAAATAATAAAATTATTATTACTATAATTGTAAAACTTAATGGAAATAATTTTTATAGTTTTATTGTAGATAATTATTTTAATTTTAAAAAAATAATTAATTTTTTAAAAAATAGTCAAATACAAAAAGTAATTAAATTTAAAAATATTCATTTAATAGGATAAAATTAGTAAAATTATTATTTTAATTTTAAAAATTGATTATTTAAAAGGTAAAAATGAAAAAAAAATGTACACAAAAAAAAATTCTTTATATGATAGTATAAAATAATATAAATGTTATTAATTTTATCTCGGATTATTTCGATATTAGTTTACTAAATATGTTGGTACTAGTCTCAAATATGTACTTATAAAAAATGATCGAAAGGAAATATTCATAAACATTTCGTGCAATTTCCTATTTTATCATTCTCTCCATCATTATGACATGTAATAAATGATGAAATAGATAGAGATATTATGAAAAAAAAATTATTGTGCAAATTATTGTATGTACTATTATCCAAATTACATTTTCACGAAAAAAAATATATTTTTGTATGATTATCTCAATTATATGATTATTGATTAACGTTTATTAGGAAAAAAATATTTTTTATCGTACAAGATTATTAATAATATGTTATGTGGTAGGTTTTGTGAGTTTAATATGATGGGTCAGGAACCTATATTTATTTGCAACAGAAGAGATTCCTATTTCTTATGACTATATAATGTAGTTGTTCATTTGAAACTTTGAACAATATTAAGACACAATAATTATAATGAACGGATCCAATGTTGTCTAAGATCTAAATAATTCTAGTTTTGCTTTCTTATCATGTAAAACTTTATCAATTACTGATTTAGAAATGAAATTGTATATTGAATTTTTCTTATACGTTAGATTCATTGTATCCATCTATTCTTTATATTATAAGTGACAATCAACATTGAAGTTCTCTTTATTATAGATTATCTCTATATCTTCTAACTCAATTTCGGGCTCAGCAATTTCAAAATATTTTTCTTATATCTATATATATAAAGGATTGTTACGAATTTTAATGAAATTATAATTTATATATTAAAAAATATTCATAATTACATTCCGGGTTTTCTTAGAGGATATGGTATATTCGTCATTTTAGTGTTTTCTAAACCAATTGGGGTGAACTTAGAAGGTTGGGAGTAATACCACCCACATTAAAGTGTAGCGGCCCATTGAAGGTTGGACCCATTTTCCTTATAAGGTTATGCTCTCCCAAACTTTTCATTCTTTCTTATTTGGGTATTGTTCCCTCCACCACCGCACCTTTCTCCCTCAATTCTTCCTCTCTTTCTTTCGTCGTTGTGAGATACTACAAGTTGCAAAGGTTAGTGGTGGTGGAAAGAATTATCAAGCAGTCTCCCTCTCGTGGTGCAGTGTCGCCCTCGTGGTGCAGTGCGTGTCGTGCTTCCTCCAGATGTGTATTCGAATAAACCTTGAAATAAAACCCTAAAATAAAAAGCGTAACCTTTAAACGGAGGTAACATCCTTCAACGGATGTTCCTTCACACCATGGCGGCGACGCTCCTTCACACCACGGCGGCAATGGAAGCTTTCAAACAAAAAAAAAACTGGGAAGAAAAAGGAATGGAAATGCGGGAGGTGGGGAGGTGAAACGGAAATGGAGAAAGAGGAAGAGAGTTCCGTGGGTGGATGCTGGAAAAGGGGTTTCAAATTATTTAAAATAGTATAAAAGTAAAAATCTTTTTAATTTAAGGATATAATTGTATTTAAAATAGTGTGGAGCGGTAGAAGAAATTTAGGGTGGTGGTGGAGGAAGCAACACTCTTCTTATTTTATTCCCAAAGAAAGTTGTGCACTGAAATAACCACTCCAATTTGATGACCCAATATCCAAGAGCACCGAATTACTAAATCCAAAAAATTATTACAAAAGTCTCTTATCATGAGTAAATTCTTACGTATGAAAGTTTGAAAAACGGAAACGGAAATAATTTCTGCATCTGAAAACATTCTTATAAAATATTCGATTATATGAAACTTTTAAAATTCTTTCAATGTTACATAGCAACAGCTTATTTTATATATAATATTATAATTATATATTAAATATGTTTTAACATATATATATATATTATGGTTTTTATATATTTTTTCTTAATTATTAATATATTTGCATATTATAATAAATATATAATTAAAATAAAAAAAATAAAGTAATTAAAATTTTTACTTTTAGTGAATATAAGTTGTATCAAATATGTCTAAGCACATTTCGATGAGTATTGTTTGTTTGAATACATATCAACCCCTTAAACCGACATGTATTCAGTCCAACGAAACTGTCCAACTTACTAACATTTACAAATTATGGTTAAGATAATAGTAAAAGTTTAAAACATGTTCAAGCAAGGTAATTCAGTCACATGGCTAGGCCTATATTGGTAAGGATAAATGAATAATGTATAAATAACACATTACACAAGATAAACTAATTACGTTCATTGATTACCATATTTATTACTATTTAACGCAGTAAAGTAACTTGAGCATCAAAGTGTTTTCTGCAGGTACAACCTCTATTCAGACTAGAGAGAATGAGTACTCTTGAAAAGGACGAGTACCTTGTATTTGGAGCTAGGAGTGCTTGAAGTTGGAGTATTTGCAGAGTATATTCAACTTTGTAAGAACATTGGTTGACATATATTATGTGAAAAAGAATTGTTAGATGGTGTCTTCATAGGTTCAGGACCCTCCTCGACTGAATAGTTGCAATGTTGGAAGCACATATGAAAATGCAATAGAGATTCACAGAACTCAAGAAAAGAAGTGCTAAAGAGATGAATACCTTAATGCAAGAGAACGTCTAACTCAAAAGGAGCGTTGAAGCTGAAGAAGTAATCAACAAGGAGAAAGTGACAATAAAACTAGATGAGCAACAAACAACTCCTCAACAACAAGAGGGAATCTCCAACATCCATTTGTTACGATATCACGATATAATGGTAGCATCAATCCAAACAAATATGTCGATGTGTACATCACTCAAGTCAGTCTATACTCGACTAATGATGTCATTATGTGTAAGACTTTTTTTACAACTTTGAAAGGAGCTTCCCTAGAATGTATTGTATTTTACTACAAAATTGTCACCACTCCCACTTTCTATACCACTTGTAGGTATAACTAACATAAAAAATTGTATACATTATTACAAAATTACGTGTTCTCATTTTCTATCAATTCTAGTGATAATCAATGTAAAAAATCTCATTATATTTACGACTATGTCACCGCTTCAGTTACTATAACATGGATTATAGCAATCATAATAAATCATCATAAAATCCAATTTTTGTATTAATGGTTAAATCTCATGGGAATGTTTCAAGACTTTTAAGTTTTTTAACAAAGTACACGTAGTTTAAAATAATTAACATTACAATCATCGAAAGTAATTCAACAATTAGATCCAAACAAAAAATACAGAAAATTTGCTATTTACTTATTTTTAATCTTAATTGTTCTTTCTGATTAGAATGTTAATTTAGACTTGTTTGTGCGCAAACCATAAGTTATCATCCTTTTATTAATGCAAAATTGCTCACAAATAGGTCGCAATGACTATGATATATTCATTTTCCCATTATGATAACAACTCACAAATTGATGACTAACGAGTCATGTAAAAGAACAACACAATCATCATATATGGCAACAACTCAGAATTCAGAAATGTTACAGGGTTCCTTCTCAAGTGGCATGGAAATTCTATACTCCTTTTTTGAATTATACCAATTTAACATTTTATATACCAAAAGTAGAAAAATGAGATCTAATGAGTCTTTGTTGACATAACTTATCAGTGAAAATGACGAAGTTAATCAATTGCATCCTCAGCTAAGAATGACTTTCCACAATAATTTATGAATGTTGATTGTTGAAAACTCATTGCAATTTCAAGAATTAAGAAGTCAGAGTCGACAACAAATTTTGCTCACTTAAAGTTAAACACCAGATTATGGCAGCTGTTGTCACACGGGTAAGCACAGTCAATAGCTTTGACAACTTCTCGGTCAAAATACCAGTCTCCAACAGCTACTGCAATTGGCTGCATTATAAAAAATTATTATTATTTTCTGAGGCCAATAAACAAAAAGCGGGAAAGGCAAAGCTTGAGAAGTGAATATTAATATTTCATCCAAGGAAATTAAAGTGTTTGTTGTTGAACTAATCGAATTTGTATTTTCAGTGAAAATAGTAGTTTTTGGAAAGACCTGGGACTGAAGTCCCTATAGATATAATTGAACATTACCCCCCATGAACCTCTTATAGATATAATTTCCTAAATCCTACTATGTTGTCTTAATCTTCATTAGGTTGGTCTAGGACCATCATGGTCCTATCCTAGTTAATCTCCTACGCCTAGTTAAGTATTATTGATTATTTCTCAAAAATTGAAAAATCGAGTACATGTCATTAATATTAGTTCGGACCATGAATATGTGGTGGATCTCACACTACCGGGAAATTTTATCTATCTTAGAAACAATGGAAATCTAAGTTGAGAATAAACCTTGTCCTCAATAAGGGGAGAGTCGTCAGCAAACCATGTCTCCTGTCTCTCAGACTGACAATGAGCAAAACAAGAATTTATGAATAGTCCAGTTTGAGATGACCTAGAGAAGTCTGTAATGTCACTCAGCATTTGATTTCTGAAGTCTGCTTCAAAGAAGAGATATGATATGTTACAAGGGAATCGGATAATTGAGATGTACCTTAGTTGCTACGAATTATTCATGTTAGTAGATATACCATTTATTAGACGAAGAATAGAAATTTTCAAATATGAACATAAATTTCCATGCATAATTCACAATAGGAAATTGAAATAACCTTGGAGGAACTGAATTTGTGATGAGCTACAATTTGCATGGTTGGATTTGCATTCATTCCAAGAGCCAAGGCGGTCAGCAGAAGGTGGTGCTAAACTGGCTTGGACCTGATGAAAACAATGTTCGCATCATATAGAAAATAGTGGTAATGAAGTTAAAGCGCCTATAACAAATAACTAAAGTGTGAACATCAAAGATCATAGTAATTGTTACTCCTGGTTTCTGTTTCCAGGTTTTTAATAGGCTTGTGATAAAAAATTGTACATCCAATTGTACAAAAGAAGAAAGAAAAAGTACCAGGGGACCATTTGAGGCAAAGGGAAAGCTCAGACAATAAATTAGTCAGGCTAGAACTTATGGTGTACATGTCATTGAACTTGGAGGACAAGTGAAGTTTTGTGCTCTTTGTAATTAGTATATAATCAGGCACATCATTAACGTAATACGGGATAAACAATGTACAGAGTCATGTTACCTGCCACACATCATAAGCTGTGTTGAGTAGAAACAATGGGGTTTCAATATGATCGATCAAATTCTGAGGAAAGAAGCACTGTGGGAAGAGACACCGGACGATTAAAATATGAATGTCTAAAGTAATTTCATGTTATGAATAGCATGGCATTCAGAATAAGAATTACCGAAGTCGGGTCTAGTTGGTTGAGACAACTTTTTGGAAGGTTTTTTTGTACATCCTACAATTTCAAAACATCACCCACATGACATATTTGTACAGGTTTTATTAACCTTACGTCAAAAAAATAAAACAAATTAAAGAATATACAGCTAAAGTTGTTTTAGGGACCAAATCTTTATGTATTACCCTGTATGACTAAAGCTGACAATTGTTTGGTCCTTGCTAATCCCATCATTCATGATTAAATCATATATGCCTAAGTTAATGGCATAAATCCTACTAATCTCAACATTGATTATTAATTTTGATTAAAAAATATTTTACTACATAGCTAAATTAAATGCTACCTGCAACTGAACAACACCTCCAAACAGATTCCTCAGTGTGCGTCCCCCAGATACATCAATTCTACATGATTGAATAGATCATTAATTATACCCAATTAGTTTCTAGGCAGGGAACAGTTTAGAGAATGTATAATGGAAAATATAAAACTTACGCATCAAGAAAGAAACCTGCATCACTCAAACATTTCACTTTGGAAGATTCTGGAAATAAGCTCCTGAACTCATCACAATGTATTATGGATGCCAGACCACCCGCAGAGCATCCAGAGAGAAGTGCCTGATATTCATTTTTTGTTTGTCATTGATGCATATGAAAAGACTGAAAAACAATATAAAGAGCAATGGGAAACCTGGTTGGCTTTCTGCATTCCTTTCGACATTAATTCCTCCATTGCAGCTAGCCATATTCTTTGTCCTCGAAATTGAAGCTGTGCAGACTGAAAGAAGGACGATATCAATGCAAATACAATTCCAAATAAAGTATCTTTTCATAAGATCTAGTTTGTCAGCACTAAAGGGTATGTAAGAGAAACTTGTTCACTAGAAAAGATATAGCAAATATTCACAAAATACAAAATAGGTTTGATATATTATAGGCCAACATACTGGAATTTTGAAAGTTTATGAACCACTACTATATTTATCACATTCTTAGATGTTGGGTTCTTTAATAGGAAATATGAGAGAGATTTGATAAGCCATGAGCCAACCCATATAAGACGATGAATATGTATGTCTTTCTCCTTATATACTATTCATCTCACTCATCTTCATCCAATATGGGTCTCTCAATTTCACTTGAATTTCTATCAATTCCCCCTCCAAATTCAAGTATTTTACTTGTCTAATACTTTCCACAAACAAATATTTTACCAAAAGTACCTTACTCGTCTAATACTTCCCAAAAAATAGCGCCAATTGTTGGATTCGTCGAGGGGACATACCAAGGAGATTTAATGTCTGAGTCATGACTCAACCATACCAGAGAGAACGAGACTACTTCTAAAAAAAAATTATAAGACAATGAGTTTACGGGTCTTTCTCATTATATATTGTTTATCTCGTTCATCTTCACCCATTTTAGGACTCCCAACTAACACTTGAATTTCTAACATTAGAGATGGTAAAATGCTACTCCTACACTAAAAAAACATAAATGTTATACAATATGCCAAGTCAGGGACTCAACATAAAGAAAACAGTTACATTCTTTTCTTGAATGAGGCATAGGTTTGTGGTACTAGCTTTTCTATCAGAAATTTAGTGATTTTGTTATATAGCTGCATTGATTGGATGCATAAGGAACAACTACACTTTCCATGGAAGTATGAAAGGTATTTAATAGCGATTATGTTATATATAGATAAAATTAAAAAACTGTGGTATGTATGCTGGAAATAGCAGATTATTAGAATAAAAAGTATTCTCAATATCTTTAGAATCTTACAATTCATTTCCTTTTTACAAGTTTTTATTATAACAAATAGGAATGATGAGAATATAATTGGTATGATTGTTATCAATAAAATAATTCTTTATTTTCTTACATAGTTCAAGTTGGTATCAAAACCCCTATTATAATAAATTTAAATTTAGGAGTTATTAGAGAGTTATTGAGTGGTAATGTTTAATGTATTAGGAGAACAAAAGTCAAGAAGTTAGTATGTTATGTTTTTATATTTATGGTCATTATAGTACTGTGTTTTGTAATAATTGGAGACATTATGGCTTGAAGATGAAAGGCTAAATGTTTGTCTTTTATATGGTAATGTTTAGGTGATATGAAATATACATAAAAGCAAATTTAGATTATTCTAAGTGAGTGTCATTTTGCTAACAAACTCTGGTATTGGGAGTCATGTTTGTGCTGGCTTGTTAATAGTCATCACCGCTCCAATAGACAAGGTCGTCGGGACCTCTTGAGCACCAAGGGTGATGACGTCCAATTTGACTCTAATTTGGTCCTTTTGCCAAACAATTTTCTTTTTTGTTACAAATCAAAGTTATAGGAGTTGAATTTTTATCTGTATTTGGTGTAAATCTTGAGGTCTTTCAAACTTTTGTTAATTTTTTCCATCTTGTGGAAAATCAATTTGGAAAAAACATAAAAGAAACTAGGTTTGATAACGGTATTGAATATGTGGATCAAGAACTCTCCAAAATTTTCATCTAATAATGGTATTGTTCATGAGCTAACATGCATTAACACTCCATAACAAAACGGAGTTGCAGGAAGAAGTGTCATCATTTAGAGGTAGCTAGAGCCCTCTTTTTCTAGATGTTTGTTCTCAAAACCTATTGAGGAAAGTTGTGTTAACTACTCTATATCTCATCAATAGGTTACCTATTCAAAACCTATTGAGGAAAGTTGTATGAACTACTATATATATATCTCATCAATAGTTTATCCATTCGTACCTTAAAATTATCTTTTGTTTCCTATACTTCCAGAGTGTCAAGTCTACATTATCTTCTGTTTCCTATACTTCCAAGAGTGTCAAGTCTACATTATAGAAAATTTGGATGTTCTATGTTTTTTCTCCACTACTATAATCCTAATCGCACTAAATTAGATCTTAGAGCTCTTAAAGGTGTATTTGTCGATTATCCTCTTTATAGAAAAAGGTACAAATGTTATCATCTCAAGAGTCATCGTATCTATATCACCATGATCTCACCTTTCACAAATTATAATATTTTTTCGTCAACCCCATGGTTTAGGGGGAGAAAAAGGGTTGGGATTTTTGGGTTTTAGAAATATAAGAGATATGTTATATAGAGAAGATTGTCGTTTTATTTTATTCATCTACTTTATATATAGAAAATTGCAACAAAATGTTAAATGTTTATATCTCGATTTTAATTTCATAAATTTAATAATAAATAAATATACTTATATCTTTATGCAATAAGATATTTTTAAAAAAAAAAATGAAAGGTTTCCTAAAACTTAATTTAAATAAAAACATATTAAGCAAATATTCTCAACATGTTTCCTTTCCTCAATATTTGTTTATATGAATTTCAAATTTTAAATTTGATTCTACTTTTTTAATGCTTGATTTCCTCCTTTTTTTTCTTCTCATTCTTGTCTTCCTTTTTTTTCCATGAGATCACATCATTTAATTTGACATTCTTTATTGTATTTTTTTTCTTTTATCAACCTCATATTCTTTGTCTATTATGTATTCCATAGTAGTGACATTATACCTTTGGTAGATGATAAAATATAGTTTTTCGAGGCAGTGGAACTCTCTTTTCTATCATTACCATACCGATATCTGTAGGATATTGTTATGTTTTATAATCATTATAGTGTTTAAATTGTAATAATTGGGATCATTATGGTCTATAGATGAAAAGTTCTATTGTTAGTCATATAAACTGTAAGGCTTATGAAAAATGAATATACACCATAAGCATATCTAAGTGAGTGTCATTTTCTAACATATCCAAGTGATGAAGCCACCACAAATGAGATAGAACCAACCCATGGTGATAAAAAAGAAGACAAATTCTTTGGGAAAAAACATCAAAGAAAAAAACTCACTTCGACTCCGGAGCAAGAAGAGTTATCTAACTTGGAGGCGAGAGGCCTTGATGGCAACAATGAGGAGGTAAGAGTCATTGAGAATTTACCCATTATGCTGGGAAAGGGAAAAATATTGGTTAAATATCATATTTCTCAATACGTCTACGTTGACCATTTCTAAGCTTTATTGTTGTCATTGATTGCCATAGAAATTCCTACGTCAGTCCAAGAAGCCATGAGAAGTAAACATTGGACTCAAACGATGAGGGATAAGATGGATACATTAGAAAGAAACTCAACATGGGAGATTGTTGTCAAACCAAAAAATAAAAAGGCATTAGGGTGTAGATGAATATTTATAGTGAAACATAATGTAGACAGGTAAGTAAACAAGCATAACACTAGATTGGTTGCAAAGCAGTATACTCAAACTTATGGAGTTGTTTATGAGAAGTCTTTTTCTCTTGCAAGAAAGAAGAATATAGTTCAAGTTGTTCACGCTGTGGTAGCTCATTTTGTATGAGAATTACACCCGTTGGATATGAAAAATGTCTTTCTTCATGGAACTTTAGAAAAACAAGTGTACATGGATATTCCTCCGGGATTTAAAACTCACTTAGGAAGAAATAAGGCAAGTCTCCTAAAGAAGACCTTATATGGTCTTAAACAATGTCCAAAAGCATGGTTTGGAAGATTTACAAAAGCAATGATTTTTTTAGGATATAAGCAAAGCCAAAGGGATCATAATTCATTCAGTTACAATACAGTTATTCATAAAAGTCCATGTTTCTGACACTAACCTCATCTTCGGCATCTCCACTGAAAGACGCCCCATCACAGTACCGTAACTTAACTCTGTTCCAATTAAAGAAATCTGTCCATGGAAGATTACATGCAGAAAAATGAAAGAACACAGGCTTGAGTATGTATAAGTTGCAGCCTCCAGGAGGGAAGAGTTTAAATGAACTAAAAAGGTAAAAAAAAAATGCATGCATGCTTAAGGTAAAGGGAGAAACCAGGGTTTTCTTCAGGTTTGTTGCTCAATATTCCCGTGAATGGTATTTGATTTTCCATGAACTTTGAGGAACCACGACGAGTATTTTTTCTATAGACACAATTTCTGATGGTATCAAACCATCCTCCCCCCTGTAGGTATTAGAAAAGTATCAGTATGGTTGAATAAGGACTTCAGATATTAATTTTTCTATACAGTGTGCCTTCTTAATATAGGCCAATGAGTGGCTATAACGATGGGGGAAAATTTTAGAAACTATATCAAACCTCGAACATTCTTTACCTCCAAATGAACAAGCCAACTATCTGCACCAGATCCAAATCCACGATCCAAATGGTAACCAGGCAATGTTCCATCCAAACAGACTGGCATTATAGGAAAAAAAAAAACGTATTTGCACGATTTCAAATCAAGTAAGAAAATTATGCATGAGACTATTTAAACTTTTCAATTTTGCCATCAATTACGAAAACTCAACCAACTCAAACAAGCATCATACGCATAATGAAGTCTATCCTTCGAGTATCAGGTCATTTAAAAAGCATATCCACAGTTCCATACAAATACGGGGCATAATCAGACAGTAATAGAAAAACCAGAAATGCATTGCAGAGACAAATAGGATGTTTGCGTGGAGCTATAAGCAAAGAATTTAAGATATGGAGGTGAAAGGTCACTCTTCATCTAAAACGCCACCATGGTATCTCATAACTAAGAATCCCGATTATAAGTGACCAATGTCCAAGAATAAAAGAATTGAAAGGAGAAAAGCAAAGAAATGCAAGTCTGGTAAATAGAGAAAACATTTGCTCAACATCTCGTGCATAATTTAAATCAGAAACAAGAAATGAGGGTTAGCTAGAAAATGTAAGTTTCGTGTAATAACTCAAAAGTATATTAATTATATGCAAGACTCATAAAGAAATCAATGGACTAAAACTCATGTTTAAACCCACAATAACCAGCAAATCAAAGATGATGCGACACGATACAAAAAAATTGCAATGTGAAGTACCAACATCAGAGAGGCTCAAAATGCAGTTTTCAGCAAGAAAGACGTCACACAAAGAAACCACTTAAAGAAAATTAACTGAGAGAGAGAGAGAGAGAGAGAGGGAGAGACCAGCTCCTTTAGAATGAGCTTCTTGAATGAGAGTGAGGTCGACCATAAGAGGTTGAGGTTGAGTTGAGGAAGGGCGAGTGGAGACGACACCGTTTTCTAAGAAAGAAAGCTGAGACAGTGTCTGAGATCCGAAGGAGAAGATCCCAGAAACAAAGCATGCAAGTTCAACGGCTACCAAAAGCAGCTTCATTGTCATCATCTTGATGAAGCTGACCACACTGTGCTTTCAACTCTCCTCAGTTATTCACCCATTCAATCTATCTCTTTCCTTGTCTTTCACTATTTATTTCCTTTAAATAACAACCCTTGGCCGTTTCTCTTCGCATGTGGACCAAACAAAAGCTACCTTACTTCTCCTAAGAAACCCAACACAAAATATGTTCTTTTTCTTCACACAATCACCATTCACGATAATAAAGTTTAATAATTCTTCATGTCTTCAAAATTAAGCTACATCTCATTTTCTTTCTGCCCCTTCTTTTGTGTTAATTTGTGGGCTATAGGAAACAAAGATTATAAAACAACACAATGATTGTCATGACCAGTTGAAGACACTGACGGAGCCAATCACGTTCAATTGTATCAATTGTTATTAAAGGGTATCAAGATTTTCCTGCTTGCTATCATAAAATCCAGAAATTACGCTTCCCCTTTAGGCTTTCTTTGTTTTATTTTACCAAATATCGTTCATTGTATTAAACAATAAACAAATAGATATTTCATTATGCTTTGAGCAATGAATATCCGTTTTTAATGCTTTAAATAAAATTTCTTGATAATATATACATCATTTTAAATGGACAGATCCGTATCAATGAATGACTAGAGAGAAAGTAAAGTGCTGAATAATTAGCTTTACTTTTTCCGGGGGTAAAAGCAATGTAATGCCCAAAGTTTTGCTGTGCCCACCACGTACAACGGGAATTGATTCTTGGCAAAAGGCTACCACACCTCTATAAACAAATAGGGTCTAATGGTTTTAATAGTTATAAACCAAACTCTATGTCTAATAATATTTAAAATACATTAGAAACTACATATATTTATTATTAGAAACCACATATATTTAAAATATTTGATAAACCCTACTTCAGCAGGTTGGTTTGAACTTTTTATAGGAAACACCCAAATTCAAAATCATCAAAATGAACTTCTTTTTTATCAATCTGGGCGAATAAGCTTTTAGAATTATGGATCTGGATTTATAAATCATGTATATTTGACAAGTCATTCATGGGACAACTTTTGACTTCTAAGAGCAAAGCGGTGAAATCACACGACAACTTCTATAAAAGTTGAAATCATGTCAGTTAACTGGACTAATATTAATTACACTTAATTAAAGTTGTGAAACCAGTATACAACTTTAACACGTTTTTCAAAAAGGTTTTCAAAAATAAATTGAAATTAACTCGTGTATTCCTGTAAGAATTTTGGTTTATTTTTTTAAAAAAACATATACACTGAAATTGTGCAAGTGAGTAACGACTTTCATATAATTTTTTTGTGCAGACATCATACCTCTTTAGATTTTTTTAACTTTTTTATTTGTATAAAAGTCGTACTTAACATATAAGATTTATTTTCTTTTCTCAATTTTAATGCATCTTTTACTTTGTTTTTTTTTCTCTCAAATTTTACGGCATCTTTTCTTTTATTTTTAAGAGCATGATTTCTCTTTTATTAAGATTTTCAACTCTTCCATTCAATCATTTCCTTTTTATTTTAATATTTTTAACTTTTTTGTTTTTTTTAATTTCTATATAAACACACTTTTTAATTTTAATTTTTTTTTCAATAATTTGATTAATTGATATTTTCACATTTTTTATGTTTTTTAAATTTTTAAATAGTTAAACTTTGTATTTTGAGATATACTTTTTTAAATAATATGACAAATGAAGTAAGAAAATTGTAATTTTTTTACTTTATAAATTTGTTATACTTTTTTTGTACAAAAATATTATTTATTTTAAGTATTTTCCAATAATTTGATTATTAAAATTATAAATATAAATTTTATTATATATATATATANCACTCTTCATCTAAAACGCCACCATGGTATCTCATAACTAAGAATCCCGATTATAAGTGACCAATGTCCAAGAATAAAAGAATTGAAAGGAGAAAAGCAAAGAAATGCAAGTCTGGTAAATAGAGAAAACATTTGCTCAACATCTCGTGCATAATTTAAATCAGAAACAAGAAATGAGGGTTAGCTAGAAAATGTAAGTTTCGTGTAATAACTCAAAAGTATATTAATTATATGCAAGACTCATAAAGAAATCAATGGACTAAAACTCATGTTTAAACCCACAATAACCAGCAAATCAAAGATGATGCGACACGATACAAAAAAATTGCAATGTGAAGTACCAACATCAGAGAGGCTCAAAATGCAGTTTTCAGCAAGAAAGACGTCACACAAAGAAACCACTTAAAGAAAATTAACTGAGAGAGAGAGAGAGAGAGAGAGGGAGAGACCAGCTCCTTTAGAATGAGCTTCTTGAATGAGAGTGAGGTCGACCATAAGAGGTTGAGGTTGAGTTGAGGAAGGGCGAGTGGAGACGACACCGTTTTCTAAGAAAGAAAGCTGAGACAGTGTCTGAGATCCGAAGGAGAAGATCCCAGAAACAAAGCATGCAAGTTCAACGGCTACCAAAAGCAGCTTCATTGTCATCATCTTGATGAAGCTGACCACACTGTGCTTTCAACTCTCCTCAGTTATTCACCCATTCAATCTATCTCTTTCCTTGTCTTTCACTATTTATTTCCTTTAAATAACAACCCTTGGCCGTTTCTCTTCGCATGTGGACCAAACAAAAGCTACCTTACTTCTCCTAAGAAACCCAACACAAAATATGTTCTTTTTCTTCACACAATCACCATTCACGATAATAAAGTTTAATAATTCTTCATGTCTTCAAAATTAAGCTACATCTCATTTTCTTTCTGCCCCTTCTTTTGTGTTAATTTGTGGGCTATAGGAAACAAAGATTATAAAACAACACAATGATTGTCATGACCAGTTGAAGACACTGACGGAGCCAATCACGTTCAATTGTATCAATTGTTATTAAAGGGTATCAAGATTTTCCTGCTTGCTATCATAAAATCCAGAAATTACGCTTCCCCTTTAGGCTTTCTTTGTTTTATTTTACCAAATATCGTTCATTGTATTAAACAATAAACAAATAGATATTTCATTATGCTTTGAGCAATGAATATCCGTTTTTAATGCTTTAAATAAAATTTCTTGATAATATATACATCATTTTAAATGGACAGATCCGTATCAATGAATGACTAGAGAGAAAGTAAAGTGCTGAATAATTAGCTTTACTTTTTCCGGGGGTAAAAGCAATGTAATGCCCAAAGTTTTGCTGTGCCCACCACGTACAACGGGAATTGATTCTTGGCAAAAGGCTACCACACCTCTATAAACAAATAGGGTCTAATGGTTTTAATAGTTATAAACCAAACTCTATGTCTAATAATATTTAAAATACATTAGAAACTACATATATTTATTATTAGAAACCACATATATTTAAAATATTTGATAAACCCTACTTCAGCAGGTTGGTTTGAACTTTTTATAGGAAACACCCAAATTCAAAATCATCAAAATGAACTTTTTTTTTATCAATCTGGGCGAATAAGCTTTTAGAATTATGGATCTGGATTTATAAATCATGTATATTTGACAAGTCATTCATGGGACAACTTTTGACTTCTAAGAGCAAAGCGGTGAAATCACACGACAACTTCTATAAAAGTTGAAATCATGTCAGTTAACTGGACTAATATTAATTACACTTAATTAAAGTTGTGAAACCAGTATACAACTTTAACACGTTTTTCAAAAAGGTTTTCAAAAATAAATTGAAATTAACTCGTGTATTCCTGTAAGAATTTTGGTTTATTTTTTTAAAAAAACATATACACTGAAATTGTGCAAGTGAGTAACGACTTTCATATAATTTTTTTGTGCAGACATCATACCTCTTTAGATTTTTTTAACTTTTTTATTTGTATAAAAGTCGTACTTAACATATAAGATTTATTTTCTTTTCTCAATTTTAATGCATCTTTTACTTTGTTTTTTTTTCTCTCAAATTTTACGGCATCTTTTCTTTTATTTTTAAGAGCATGATTTCTCTTTTATTAAGATTTTCAACTCTTCCATTCAATCATTTCCTTTTTATTTTAATATTTTTAACTTTTTTGTTTTTTTTAATTTCTATATAAACACACTTTTTAATTTTAATTTTTTTTTCAATAATTTGATTAATTGATATTTTCACATTTTTTATGTTTTTTAAATTTTTAAATAGTTAAACTTTGTATTTTGAGATATACTTTTTTAAATAATATGACAAATGAAGTAAGAAAATTGTAATTTTTTTACTTTATAAATTTGTTATACTTTTTTTGTACAAAAATATTATTTATTTTAAGTATTTTCCAATAATTTGATTATTAAAATTATAAATATAAATTTTATTATATATATATATATATATATATATATATATATATACATATATATATGAAAATTGTAAAAAAATATGAAAAAGTTTTAATGTTTTAATTTTAATAAGCTAATAAAATTGTCAAAATTATTTTCAAACAAAAAATATTAATAAAATTGAAGTTATATTCATATAAGAGCTTCTATAAAAGCAATAAAAAAATTATTTAAAAACTAAAAAAAAGCATAAAAATTAAAAAATTTAATTAATTAAGTCATTATAATCAATTTAAAATAAAAATATGCTTACATTATTTTTTTATTTTTTTATTTTTTTATTTATGTAGAAGTCGTGATTTTCTAACTTTTTTACTTTTTTAAAAAATTTGATATATTTTTTCTATTTTAAAGTAATTTTTAACAATTTAATTAATTGGTTTTCAACCTCATCACCAAACATTAAATATTTAATTGCAAAACATTCAATAAAAAAAATTTAAACATTCACAGCATAAGAGAAAAAAAAATTAGTTCATCAAAATAGATATGACTTTCCAAAACCAAAACTAATAAATTAAATTCCAATCAAAATTGCAACTTTCAAATTAATACAGGTTTCACTTCGTCCAAGTGAAACTAGCGTTAACATATAATCAATAACGCAAATCATTATATAACATAAATGCATAAACGATTGTAGAAGAGTCTAAAGAAAATAAAAAGTTTTTCATAAAATTTTGAAAGTCTCTAATTTTAAATAGTAAAATCATATTTTAAATGTATAAAACTACAATTTCTTTCAAAAAAAAGTATTCAAAATAACCTTTTTATCATAATATCTTCCAAACTCTATGTAAAAAATAAAGTTTCCTTTTAAAATTCTTTATCCAAACACAATCTTAAAGCATCAATCACCTTTCAAATAATTTGTATTGGAAAAACTCTAGGCAACTAATGTTACAAACGGGGAGGGAGAAAATTTACTCCCGAAAGGTGCTCGAGCAAAAAAATTAAGCTTCCCACATATTATTATAATTGAAAAAAAAAATAATTGGGGAAATAACTAACCTATGCAGACACTGAGCCACTAGATAAGATATCATTTACATCACCAAACTTATAATTTTTGTATACTTCAAGCAGCAGTTCCCTACACGGGACAACGGCCCCAATCTTGATGCATGCCAAAAAAGCACCGGAAAGCTTTCTGTGAAGACTATAGGCTTCATCAGGTGGAGGAGTAAGCCTGTGCTTGACCATTGTTGCCCCAAGATGAGAAATGCTTTGAGTAATGTTGTTTGATCGGAAATCAAAACCACCAGATCTTGAAAATGGCAAACCCACAATAAACCCAGCTTGGACGTGGGCATCTAGCATGACATCTGATTCCATTCCGCTGAGGAACCCAAGTCTCCTGGACATCTCAATGACCCCATCGCTATCACCATTTGCACATGCTAGAACCTAATCAATTATGCATAATAAACAATAATAAAAATCCAGAAGAATTTGCTGCCCGGCTTAAAATCCTCACTTTAGTTACTAGGATGGGTGGGACCCATAAAAGTTGTCATGTATAAGTGCAATATATTGCCATGTAGACAGTTTGGGATACAAGTTATGAAAAGTTACGTATATTTATAGCATTTTTTTTATCATAAACATGTGTATTATGATAAAGGCAAGTCCGACAGAGTAAAATAAAAATTAGACATAGGAAACAAAACAATGAAGATTTCAAACCTCAGCTTAGTTGTTGATATAGAGAGATTAATTAGAAAGAAAGAGAACCAACCATTCTTAGATAATCATCAACGAATACTTTAGGGTAATCCCGTGCTGCTCCAAAATCAATTAGATTGATGATCTTTGTAGCTTCATCAAATAAGAAATTACCCCAATTAGGATCGGTCTGCATTAAAAATACCCTCCAAGTTAAGAAGAGATCACAAAAATCGTGTGTGTGAGAACTATGCACAGATAGAGTGAAGTTTTTCCACTTAAATCTTAACTACTGTCATATTCACTCAAGTCTTTTAACAATTAATATATGTTTACTTCACTTAGACAACACCTGAACAAGATAGCTAAACCAAATTCATAAGGTATACTTCAAATTTCATATGCATGGACCGGAATTCTCCGATTGGTGATGCTATAGTCAGTATGTCAAAATAACACAGGGCAGAATAACATGCCTGCATAAATCGGAATACAAATAACTCCATCAGTGTGAGTTCTAATAACTTTTTGCCAATATGATTACGAGTTTCCTGGTCCAGTGACGCCACTTTGTCAATTGTAATTCCTGTAGCAAGAGAAAACCACCCCACGTTCAAAGACAGGCAAAATATTTAATTCACAAGAATATCATTCTATTTATTTCATCTGAATACTGTAAACAGGTAGATTGACACACTAAATATGAAATCAATAATTCATAAATATTTTTCCCCCAATAGAATAAAAAAATTGAAGTAATAAGGAAAGCATCCCTTCTTTGATGAACGGGACAAGTAGCATCTCTCAACTAGTAGCAAAGAATGATTAAAAACATCATGGGCAAATTTTTGTTCATAAAACTATCAGATTAAAGGAAACAGAATTTCTCCAAACATAATTATATAATTAATTACATGAAGTTTCTTTTAGTTAACAGATATTTCTTCTCACTTTTCATGAATTACAAAAAAAGAAAAAAAATGATTGAGTAAATGGATACCAAATAAGATTATGAGATAAAATAGGAGCATCTACAGGGAAAATATGCTATCTAATCTGGAAAACTATATCCTCCACACAAATAATAACTACATATATATGTTGAGAGCATTGCCATCTAAACAGGATGTCAAATGAACTGCATCGAACACCACATATGTTTTTATTCTTTTACATCACTTTAAGTGTGTAAAAAGGCTACGCAAGTTATGGTACCAGAAAATCACATGTAAAGATGTATAGAAAAATGCATCAAAAAGAACTTGTTAAAGTTCTTATAATTACCATAAACAAGCTCGGTAGTTAATACTCTTCTACTTGAAATAGCATCCACAACTATTGGAACATAAAATCCATCGATCCCAGCAAGAAGATCTCGAAACCTCTTCTGATTCGCTGCCTCCAACCTATAATCACACTCGCGCGATAATTCTTCTTTGGCCACCTAGAAAAATTACAGGAAGAACTTAAAAAGCAAGGTTTAGCATATAGACATATACTTGTCAAATTATGAAGACATTTTTTTCTACATGATATAGGTAAGAGACTCCAGATCATGGAAAATTAGATGGATGGTTGAAAGGTGAAGAGGGAAAAAGAAAGAGGTGCTAATTCCAGAGTTGAACAAGTATGCACACAGATTAAACTATAACAGATTGAATATGGTTTAGGATTTCACTGATGAATCAGAAGGCATAGCACTCAATGAAAGGAAGAGACGGGGCTAAGGGATCCAAACCCCTAAAGACAAGACAGAAAATGTGTGGGTTTAAAGA